GCAGAGCTATGCAATCTGCCAAGCCGCTAGGCTGCCCAGAAGCCTCCTTCCCACCTGTCGAAGTTGCAGCTGCAGGTTAGAGCTACGGATCGGGATTCGAGGTCAGGACCTTCCAAACCATTTTGAACCTCAAAAAAGAAAAACGTAATTACCACAACTGAACAGGCTCGAGGCATCAATGTGACATCATCGAAGTTGCTGAAATGTCTTGGAGAGCGGACAGACCCCGGTCGATCGCCATTGGCTGCATGGACACCTCGAAGCATGATGTAGCGACAACTGATTTGATCCCGTTCGCCTTATCTCGCTAAAGCAATTTGACAAGGCTGGACGAAAGCGGCTTGGTGAGGGGCACTACCGTCCACGTCTAGCAGTAGCAGCGCCATTCGTCGTCGTGGGCAAGGTCGCGGTAGCGGTACGAGGCCCGAAGCCCAAAAGGACGAGCAAACCCCGGCTGCAGCAAGAGTACCACTCGTAGCGGTAGTGACAACGCAGAAAAGGCCAACAGCAGAGGCAACAACAGCAACAGCAGTACCGGTAGCGGTAGTGGGCAACAGTGGCGGTAACAGCGTAAACGGAGTAGCAGTAACGATTACCATAAGGGTATTGGAAGTTGGGAGAGGGAGGCGACGCACTCTTAATTCAAAAAGAATACGTCTCCTGCACTGCATAAAACCACTGACAAGTAAAAAATCTTTTGGGTGCGGAGACACCCTGACCAATCAATCGTTGAGCATAGCGTTCCTTGCCGGCGAAGCCACTGAAATTTCAGAGTAAACTAACACTATCCCACACTCCAGCTGAGTTCGCTTGCGCGACTCAAACTTTTAGACTTTTGAACTTTGCCAAAAACGGCTGACTTGCGAATGTCGCAAGACACCGAGGACTGGGACCGTGGGCAATCACGGCAGCGGTCGAAACCTCTTGAGAGAAAGCCGACAATGCTGACATTGGTGCTGGACGAGGATCGCACGGCATGAGAGATTCGGTTCCGTGGAAACAATTTGGCCCGTCCCTTGTGTTGCTGTTTGCCCTGGCTGCATCCCATTACATTAGCGCACCTGCACATTGCACCTGTGTGCGAAACGATGCTAAAGTATTTTTCCTAATTTTGTATGCGCATACACACGGTGTATCTACATTATATAATATACACATGTATACACATGCATGCATGAATGGATGGATGGATGGATGGATGGATGGAGGGATGGAGGGACGGGCGGACGGACGGACGGACGGACGGACGGATGGGGATGTATAGAATGGATGTGTAGGTGTATCCGCCGATCCCGCTTGCGCGGTCGAGCGCCGGGGAAGCCAATTGATCTCCTCCTCTTCTGAGTCCCCCTCTCCCTGCCCTCTCTACCCTGCCCGACCCCCACCCTTCTTCGCCCTTCCCTAAACCGCCACCCCGCACGCCCCCCGAACTTCCTCCATAGGAGAATTGCATAGTTATGGCGGCTCGGATGCAAGTTTGCACGACTGAAAGGGCTTGGGTGCCAGCTGGCCGTTGCAGCCTCGATTTTGTGCCCGTCTAGGACGGCCTCGCTGGAGTCTTTGATGTTCCTGCGGACATCAAACCGCAAGGAACGTTTAGGGAGCGCCAAAGGGCCCAGCACTCCCGGAAATCTGGGAGCATGGCTCGCCACCAAACTGACCGCCCTCTGCCTGACAGGCAGCATGTTAGTCAGCGGGCCATGCACTAGTTACGTTTGGACGCCATCAACCGAAAGTAAAAGAGAAGCTGTGCAGAGACTGAGTCTTGCGCGGTCACTTCCAGCCGACACTTGTCCTGGCTGCAGAGCATGCCATTGTTCTCGTTGAATGCACTCGCCACAGCTCTTCCCGATTCCCACGCTGCGCAGTGCCCTAAGCAACTGGCATTGCACCAAGCAGAGCTTTCTTCCAGCTGTTGCCCATGTTGCCCAGCTTCGGCTTCGTCCGGCCTCCAAGATGGCCGAACCGGAAGCTGATACTTTTTGACCTACCATCCTGGAACCCTCCGATGACATTCAGACATCCTGCAGTTGGCAGTGCGTGACTTATGAAATGTACCTCTGTTGAAGGTGTTATGATCATCTCTCGCCAACTCTACCGGAACCTATGCCCCAGCGCAACAGGCCCGACTCAGTGCAAACACTTCGGTCTATCGGATCAAACTACAACCGACTACTGTGTTGCGAGCGGCGTTGCAGACAACGGAACTCATTCTAATCACGGCTTCTATAGACCGCAAGTACCGAAGACACGTTGAGGCCGAAGAGTGTCGAAGGCCTTGGAGCACCTGACCCCATGACATGGCGCAGCCATGGCAGTAAAGGAGTCTCTGTCGACTCTCCAAAGATACAAAGTTGGCCAATCCGACACGCTGTCTACCTGAGCTTGTTCGGTAAGAAATTCTGAAAGGCCACGCTTCGAGAGAATTCAACAATGCAGGACGGCTGCTAGAAGGATCGACTGAAGTACCATGTTCTGCCACAAGCGCATCCACCACAAGAGCCACAAGACCAAACGGACACCTCAATCTACAGATTTATTTTGATTGCTTGCGACTCTCCAGACCCGAGCCCCAGAGAGGCAGCCGAATTGAAAAGGCTGCGTGGCTCGAAAGGATCTTTACAGCAACCCTGCCGCTTCACAGCATTACGATTCACGTAGAGATCTTGTATGATCTTGTCCACCTCATAGACACGCAGCAATATGCCACATCGAATTCATTTAAGAACAAGCTTGAATCAAGCCAGTGAAACTGGCACGTCAAGTATGCACGATGTGTTTCTGCAATGCTACAGGGTGAAAAGCAGATCGATTGCAGCATGTCTCTGCAGCACAACTTACAAACGAAACCTATGCGTCTGCTCAAGCTCTGACTCCGTCTGCTGATGCACTGTTTGCAACAATCGACCCGCGCAGTACACACTTGGAGATTAATTATTTCATGGCTAGCGAAGAGTCACATATCTACTTTCTACTCACAGCGTCTTTGTGCTAATACGCACGTGCAAGAGGTCTACTCATTTCCTGAGTTACTCGCAGTTCTCCTCTGCATATTGCATGTACGACATCAGCAAGCTGATCTTCGAAAGATATTGCCGAGCAGCATTTGCCTCGTGCCTGATGACATCACAGCGGATGCTCTCACGTACACACAGGGGCACACGCAAACACGCACATTGCTGCTTCGAACTTGGCAAAGGTCCGGACGCCATGCCAGCACCCTTGCACCAGAATTCGGCAAGAGCAATGCCCAACACTACTTGCAAACTGTTCCACTTTTCCATCAATGTTTCTATGAGCAGCAGCATACCGGCGTCAAGTGCGACAGGCTCAAACTGCAGCACAGCTTGCTGAAGACCGGTGACATGCACAAATTACTACGAAAGAGAGACTGTCTCGAAAGTTCGGATGGGTTATGCTTGTTATCGCAGCAGACAGGAGCGCACAACGTCCAAACCTTCATGATTGCCTTGCAGCTATCAGCCCAAGGTTGGATAACCCCAACCTACAAGGCCTTGAGGTGTCCTGGACTTTCACGATCAGCAAGATGATGTTGCAAACGTAGGCCCCCTACCTGCAGGTGATGCATGTGACACTCCATGACCCAGACTTCATCAGACTTCGTGTGCCGGACTCTGTTGTTTGCCAGAACGAGTTCTCCAGCTTCAGCTTCAGGAGACCTGACAAGGCTCACTGCAATCCTGAGCTTCCAGCAAAGGAATCACTGGGCTGGCTGCCCTCTGCTGATTTGCAAAGGCTCCCCTGGTCAATGCAGGTATGAAAAGGTACCCCAGGACAGAGTCAACAAGGCAGCGAATTGTGCCTGACAGAGGGCCGTTTGAAGGTGCGAAAACACGCCTTGCAGAGCCAGATCGCCGCTTGCCTGGAAAGAAGCAGGCACGATACGACGACATGCAAAGCTCGGAGCTCAAAGCTACAAGCATCACGGATGCCTTCAGCAGAGGACTGAGCGTACTTCATGAGAAGTTCTGCAGTAGTCAAAGGGAACTTGCACAAAAGACAACAAGACTCGATTCGTGGTCGATGCACGCCCTAAAATTTCTCAGACCCATACTGTCGTCGTTGGCTGCCGCAACCGCTTTTGCCAGTTCGCCGTCACCTTCAGTTCTTCAGAGCAACCAGAATCAAGCTGATCGGGATCAGTTCCGTTGCCTTCCACAGAAGTGACCTCGACTCCATCCATATCGGGATCCGGCCGATACTTTGCAGGCCTGACGGCTTCAATAGCAGCCATCAAGTTCTGACAGCTCTTGCAGGTGGACGCTGCCTCCAAGAGTCGCACTTGTCTCCGTCGACATTTCCTGCACCACAGGGCAGGACCCTACACACAGAGGTATTGAGGCGCAGCGCCTTCTGGATGATAGTCACGGCCCAGAGACCTACTGTTCTCCGACCTTTGAGAGCCAAGAACAGTGGACCCGCCCATTGTTCTTGTAAAGAGCTTGTTGACGCTCAGGGGCCGCAGGTCAATTGCATTATCAAGCTCGGGCTCCCGCAGACCCTGCTGTTTCGGCTTATCCTCCTCTATGCCAGACAAAGTACTTACCTCCAGGAGTCTGCAATGTGGGCTCAACATCGACAGAACAAGCTCCAATCCCGGAAAGGGGCAAGGACTGTAAGCACCTCGTACTTATGGCTTGCCCCACATCCCATCTCAGGCGCCCAAGGCAAGACGAGCCATCGGCACCCACATCAGCTGAAAACGGCCGCATGAGACAGGCAAAACGGAAAAGTGGTCAGTCTTGCTGTGCTGGGTAAGCTTAGTTAGGGAATGCTTGGAAGCCGCTGGAAAGCAAGCTGCATGCAGGATTTCCAGTCGTTTGCGTAAGTCGGTCTTCCTGCGCACTTGGACTGGCTCAGACCAAGCTTGTCAGAGCTCCTCTGACAAGAACGTTCAGAACATATCAGAAGACACGAAGGATTCTAATCTCAAACGAATCCTTAGGCTGCAACCTGGCCATGGAGCGGAGAGCGTCGCTTCAGTGTGAAGGCGCAAATGGACCCCTACTTTTGCAGGGTATCTGCGCCAGCATAGCAGCTCTTGCCGAATCTCCGGATTTGCAGGGGATTTGAGCTAACAAGGCTGCCTTGTTTAAATGAGCGGAAGCTGGTGGCGTTGCTGCAAAGCCTGGCTTCGGCATAACAACTTGGGGGGCCTTGGGTGGCACTGGGGTTGAAGGTGCTTGCCGCACCGGCACCACCGCTATTGGCACCGGCAACGAGGTGGGAACGGTGGGAACTGTAAGTGATGTGGCGCATGCGGCGGGTGTGGGCAGTGTTTGTAGTTGCGAGGGTAGAGGTGCGCTTGGAAAGGCTTTGCAAGGTGTCGGCGCCGGCGCGGCTTGCAGCAAGAACGGGTTGCTGAGAATTGCAGGGACTCCCAACGACTGCCCCGCCCAGCCAAGAGGATCGGATAAGGCTTCCTTTTGGACCAGATTTCCCGTCTGCGCTTGCGTCTGCAAGGCAAGGGCATAGGTTCGGAGGTAGTCTTCTTCGGCCTTCGGCGCTTGGTTGTCCAGGACGCTCATCTGCTGCTGCATCCAGGCATACATTGCTGTCATTTGTGATTGAAGCTGCTGGTGGTTATCCGACACCTGGCTTTTGATGTCGGCCTTTTTGCCGTCTGGCTCCTCTGGTGTCGCCACTGGAGGCTCCTCAAGACGGGGACAGCATTTAATTAACTGACAAAAGACATATCCAACATCACTTCAACCCCACCCAAACCCCACCCACAGCATCCTGGGCCACTTCGAGGACGGGTTCGCCAAGCAGCTCTGCTTGTGGCTGTGCAATTTGCTTTTGCACGTTGACTGCGTTGACTGCTGTCTGTTCCGTGGCAACGGAACTAGTGCGGTCAGTGCGGTCTGCCTTCTTGGCTTCCTGGTGGTTCCTGACTTCAAAGGCGATTCGCCTCGGTTCCTGCACATGAGCAACACGGTCTGCCTTTTGGTACGAGCTCGCCCCATCCTCCACAACCGCTCCCGAAGTAGGTTGCGGCTTGTTCTTTGCATCGGGGGAGGGATTCTCTCTGGGGCGTCTCTCGCCAGCTCCCAACTGCCTCAAAAGGATTCGCTCTTGGATCCTTTCTCTCTTCGCATCTCGAAGATCTTGTGCCTTCGCCGCAAGCTCAGCCGCCTTTTGGTCGTGCTCCGAACTGTCCTGCTTTCTCCGCTTTGTATCTGCGGGCTGCGGGGACGGCTGCATCTTTGGATCGCGCTGGCGTTTCGATTCCCCAGCAGACTCTGCAGGCCCAGCAGCAATTCCAACCAGATCCATGGATCGGTTGTCAGCCTCTGCGCTCTGACCTTGCGGAGATGCCTGCGTTTCTAGAGGCTTTTTGCCTGATATCTTGTCTGGTTCGCTCTGTACTGTTTGAGAATCCTTGCTCTTCTTCTCCCGGCGCTTCTTTGCAGGCTCGTCTGCGTGACTGTCCGCCTCCGCCTGTCGCTTGAGGCTTGGCTCCCGCTCGGCAGTCTCCGCCTGCTCCGGGCTGACGGCGAGAACAGCGTGAGGAACTTGCAAAGCTTGGGCTCTGTGCGTCTCCTTCGTCTCCTTCGTCTCCTTCTTGCCTTCGGCAGATGAGTTGGAGTCGTTGTCATCGGCCATTTCACCTTCAACGACTTCCTGACACAAAAGCGGCTGGCAACGCCAGTGCCAGTCACAAGCTTGCAAGCTGCAAAGCCAGGAACACGGAGCCTCAATGTCCGCATCATCCACAACACCTCCTTGCTGCCTTCTTGCCTCGCGGCGGCCAGATTCTTGAAATGCGTTCAGAACATCTTCGTGTGAAAATGACCACAAGGGAGTATTCCTGAAAATCCAGCTTTCGCTAACGGTCCGCTGACTACACATACCCCCGCCTTCTCCGCACCTTCTTCCTTAGGCGGATGATCCTCGTGGACATCGATACCGTTGTCGCTTGCGACTTTGGCATCCAGTTTGCCGTTTGCTGCCCCATCCTCCACGCACGGGTTGTCTTGCTTCTGGACATGCTGATGTGCACGTCTGCAAGGCCTGCTTCTTGTCTTCAACAAACGTAGCAGCTGAGACCTCTGCTCAGGCTAGTGCAACCACATGTTGAACTCTAGCCGACCGAACAGGGTGTGCTGCGCCCCTGAACGTATGTTGTTCTAGCCCAGCGCACATCCGGCTTCATCTGTTGCACTTTTCAATTGCAAAACCAGAAGGAAACCATGCTGCATGTTGAAGAGCCGAAGTCCGTCTTGGCTGAACATGCCGCTTGTAATATCGTCGCCAGCACAGCGGCACTCTGTAGGATCAATATGGATGGCAAACGGTTACCAGACTTAGCTGCCTCTGCTCCCAGGAACCAGAACAAAGTGCATTTTCGCTCAAACCTGGATAGCTCTGACTCTAATGCGAAGCAAGGGTTGCCCCCAGTGGTGTAGAACTTGCTGGATGTCGGAAATACTGTTCGATCGTTAGTCTGGCTCTTGAAATCGCACATGCAAAGCAGCATCAACTCTTTGGATTGAGTCCGTTTGAAAGCGGACTGGATCTAGGACCTAAGGAATTACAGTCGATTCGCGCTGAAAATGAAACTGCACACCACCACAACACAATAGTGACGTTGCAAAGCTGGAGGATTTGAGGGAGCTGGCAGTTCAATTAGCATGTGGGGTGTATCCACTTTTTTTTTGCGCAGGAGACCAGATCAACTCGCTGTCGGATGCTGTCGGTACATCGTGTCACAGCTATATACTGACAATGAATGCCAAGAGCTTGATAAGTTTCCGACATTCTGAAAGCAGCTGACATGTGACATGAAGTATGGAAGGAAGTGCAGTAGAGCCGTATGCAATGGGATCACGCGACTCGATGGCGTGGACATTTTGAGGAAGCATAAGCAAAATGCATGCTCGTGCAGTGCCTGCGAGAGGAAAGACAGCCTGGCCCAGGAGCCGAAGGGCATCAAGAGCTCGAGGATGGAAATGAGAAGTGACGGGAGAAACAGTCGTTTAATGAATCTAACATCACATGCATAACAATGACTTTGGCAATTCTCAAACAAAGCACTCTGCACTGTTACGCGACTGAGAAAGCTGAGAATGCTGAGGAACGAAAACTGAACAGCAACAACAGCAACGCAGACCATTGATGGAAGAACCACTTGGACTGACGAAGTCAACGGAGTAACCCAAGATTGAGGCTGAGGCCACAATTGGAACAAAGCAATAATTTTTCTCGTAAGTTGCTTAAGCTGCACTCGTTACTCCTGACCCTCAGACTAGTCGGACAGGACAGCTGATCGCTGGTTATGTTTCGGAGGTATTGGATACGATTTCATTATGAAGCGAATTGGACAATCATTCATCTAAATGATGCACGGTCTCCCGTTGAGGCAATATTGAGTGACAAGCTTTTGGCAAATCGGTATGGCAAAGTGCTTGAACAGTCGGAGAATGTTGATGATGGTTTGGAATCGGGAAGACATCTGGGTGGAAGAAGACTTGCCAGACGGTGAATTGAAGAAACGCGAAGATCTCAGATCAAGCCTTGCATACTAATGAAGCAGAGAATCTCATGACGAACCTGCTGGCCAATCGCGATGAAATTAATCAAATAACTGGAGGTTGACATGCCGTCTGACCAACCTGAAGGTTCCAAGAGTGAACCTAGTGGAAGCAGAAGAAGGCATGCGTAAGGCATCCAAAATCGTCCAAACGTCTTTGGCATGGTGTTCTGTGACTAGCAAGGTCGGCTTGGAGGCCACTGCAAGCTAAACTTACTGCAAACCGTCAAAGTTGCTCAGGACACCCCACTCTGCTCGCTCCGCACTCGCCGTATCACCCAACTCACCCATCGCATCCTACATGTTCGTACAGCTGTTGGCAACCTCTTGTTGGACACCGAATACTAGATGGGCAGAACTTGGGAGCCGGAGTGGCCAGACAAGCAGCTTTCGCAGCTAGCGAAGACGAAACATGCGTCTTCGCCGCAAATGTGACTCCTCTCTCGCCTGCTTTGGGCTTTGCAAGCTGGCGTGCTTTTCTTGCATGAAGCGACCCAAACAGCATCGTCGTGTTCTTGCCTGCACAATCGAGACCTACACCACAAACATGATAATCGAAGTCGACGTGCGAAATCACAGGTTTTGAAAACTCGAATCTGCGAGACCTGGGTCCTGAAGCCATCAGCAACACAGAGACCAGTCAAGCGCAACTGGAAAGAAGATGCAGAACACCGCAAGACACCGTCTGAGCACGGGACATGGACGTCGTGCCGAGAGCCTTAGCATGTACATAGTCACTGAACTTTTGCTGTTAGTGTTGTATTGCTGTTGTCGGTGTGGCGCTGCTGTTGCTGTTTGCTGCTGGTACTGTGGGGGTGCATAACTTGTGATTTCGAAAAACAGAACTTTCAAGTTCCAGCTGGAAGAATGAAAAGGCTTAACCGCTCCCACGAGACACTACAGAACCCCAGTGCCGAAGCGGTGCATCGTGCACATTCGCTTGCTGTTGACGAGGCCGCTGAACAAACGACACCAAGGGTTATGTATTGAATACTTGTAGAGCGACCGGGCCATCATCTCAGCCACAATATAGAGATGACAACTCTAAATGCTGCTGCAGGGCCACGCATGCTTCTCGACTTGTGCTGAACATTATCACGGATCTGGAACTCATGGCGCCACCAGCCAGAAACACCCTCAAACAATCCGACCCCACTGCACACAAGCAAACCTTGCCCCCCGAGTTCCCACCACTGTGGACGACCTTCAGGAAGCCGACGCCAAAGTTCGGGCAGAGAGCCGAGTCGGCCAACAAGGCCAGATTCGCGCGCAAGGGCCATGGATTCGCGCACTGCGGTGGCGAATTCGTGCACGGACGATTCGCACGTTGCCCCGAAGACGTGCGCACTGAAAGGCCGAGGTTCTTCAGCGGACCATTCGAGCACTGACCGCAGCAAATTCGCGCACCGAAACGACTCGACTCGCGCGAGAGAACGACGGATCTAATTATGAGAGACTCCAACAACAACAACAACCAACCGATCGAGCAATCAACCAACAAATGAACGAACAAACAACAGGGACCGGCAGCGACACCTGCAAAGGAACCTGACGAAGCGGTCGAAGGAATTCGACAGGATGTGAAAAAGCCCTGAAGCCTGGAAGGAAAAGCGGAACTTATCGATTCACACACGACAAGGGGAAGGTGTGAAAAGCCTGGGAACGCGGTGACTGCAAAAAACCTCAACCATAAAAGGGCATGGAGGAGAAGTAGAATGCTGAACCTGAACAGTAGATGGAGGAAGAAGACTAAGACCTTGAGGGAGATGGAAAGTGCGAAAAAACTAAACTCCAACAGTGGGTCCAACAGTAGACTAAGACAAATGGGGGGCAAGATGAGGCTGCTGCATGCTTCGGTGGAGGGCACATTGGTGCCTAATAGCCGCTGCGCGAATCGCGACTGCTTAGGTTTGGTGCTTGTAAGCTGTGCAGTGGTCGAAATGCCGGCATACTGGAATAGCACGTACTTTGGCACAACAACACCATCGATGCGAGGCATCGAAGCAAAGGAGTTCAGACTCGGCCAGATATCACTACTCCAGTGCATATCCAAATGTCACGGCATGTAGCCAAGTGCTCTGGAGATGCTGATAAGGATCTTATGGATCCAGGATGCACTGCATGTAGAGTTGCGCTAGCCATAGACCGGGGCACCCACCATTGACCTGTTCAGGGATCTTCGGCCTGAGTCTCCACGTACCATCGCGCTGCCCGCTAAAGCATGGCGCTAACGGAAACGCTTGGAGAATCTTGGGGATGGACTTCACAACTTCTGGCGTTTTGCCGTGCAGGTGTTCCACGATCTGCTCGGCATCTGGCAGAAGCGCGTCAGCTTGGGATTGGGGAGATGTGCGAAGTAGGAGGCTTGCTCCGTGCTGAGAGCTCTGCTTGGGCGCTTCGACACGTCTCCGAGCATCCGCGAAAGCAGCTCCTCCCAAACAGGCGCCGAAGATCGCCGAAGGACGGGCCGGGGGCAAAGATCCCGCATGTCCCCGAGTCCCCGTCCTGGCTGAGGCCGAGAGCTCCCGAGAGGCGGTCGCCCGCCTGGAAGCATCGAAGCACCCCCTGTCACCCGAGCTTTTCACAATGGATGCAAGCTCCCGCTTCCGCGGGGCCTCCAAACCCATCAGCCGACTGACAGCAAGCCGCGCCGCCTGCACGTTGCTAAGCGGCAAAAACACTCTCCCAACTCTCCCAGCTCCAGCTGCACCTGCATGCCAGAAGTCTGCAACTGAACAGCCAGCACTCCAAATGAATACACCTCGGGAAACGATAGAGAGGCCACACGTGCTCCTGCTGCTGACGAGCAGTATTCGCGCACAGTGTTGCTGGTAGGCTGTCGCAACACTGAGACCACCACATCAAATGAATGTGCCGGATATGCAAAGTTCACGAAGTTTTCCTTAGCCTTGCAATGTCAAGCAGCACATCGTGTAAACTAAACTCCGACACTGCCTGCCTTGACTTCCGGTGGAGCCCAATCGAATCGCTTCTTCTCTTCTTCTTTCCAATTGCACCTTCACCGGACCAGGCGGGAGGGCTCTTGCCCCGAGCCGCACGGCGTTGGACTGCTTGCTTACAACCACAGCCTTTCGCATGCCTCTCTGAGTCCGCAGAACCCTTCCTAACGTGCTTCCAGGCTGTTTTGCTCGTAAACGGCGGAAGCAAAGTTTGCAAAAATTGCACATACCATGAAGCGTACCTGAAGTGAAAACAACACGAAGATCACTGAACGCTCCAACAAAACTTCATGCAGATCTTGCTTCAGCGTGTATTCACCTTATCAGGCATGTGTAATCGAATCTTGGTGTTCACATTTTGTCCCGAGATGTATGCCAAAGCCAAAGGGTCGTGTAGCTCGCAATGGCTGCGGGAGTTTCGTGAAAGGCATGTGAAGGTCTGCGGAGGTGACCACAAGGGAATTGTCCATGGGCCGTCGAGCAGCGTCGCCGTAGTCCAGAAGCGATCGGGTCCCGAGACATAGACGTATGGTCTTGAAAATAGAAAAACAAGCGATACATCTTTGACTTCTCCCGGGGACTCACCGTAGGGCTTGCATTCCAAACTCGGACTGTGCAAGAATATGCCAGCGTGGGCAGCAAACAGCGAAGAACGCGAATCAGTCCAAGCTCTACCTTGCACCTCATGAATACATTGAACACACAAAAGAAATGTGCACCAGGCTGGCAGGAGCACGATTGCCCCCTGAACGTGCACCGCACTCTGACAGGAACACGAGTTTCATGTCAAAGGGCACGTGGGACTGCGGATGTTCCTCAAAACAGCGGGGCAATAGTAACACTTAAGACTTAAGACTATGTTGAGTACCTGGATTTGAAGAGCAGTCCGCCCTCCCGTTTTTCACTAAAAACACGTTCTTTCCACAGTTCCACTCCCGCCGCATCCACCGGGGACACCGATTTCGACATAACATCCACTGCATTGGTGCTATGGTGCTACCCTTATTGGTGAATCACGCTCGGGCACTCGCCACCGTGCCTCACAATGCTTTTCTGGGTGTGTTTCCGTGCACATGCAGTTTGGGCTTCAAGTCGCTCGAAGTCGCTAAGGAGTGATGTAGCAATATGCTGAGCTCGCCAATATGCCGCGTGCATTTTGGGGTAGCCATAGCCTGCGCATTTTCTCCTCGCCAAATCGTGTTCCCACCCGGAGGTTCGCTGCAGCGAGATCCTTCAAGATCCACATTCGGTATCCCGAATCGCCTGCGCTGCCTGCTCTATCCCGCTTCCTTTAGTCATACACTTTCTACGGCATGGCTTCACGGCCAGGCCGTGAAGTTACGTAGATCTCAGCAGTAGCTGTCACCTTCCAAACAGCGCACACGTATGCAACACATGCACGCATACTGTGTACTTTGAGGCTCATGCTAAACTTATGCATAAACTTTTGTATGGACCAAGCAGAAGCCGTATCTGCCGGCACATGCATACATGCATACATACATATGAGCGATCATACATACATGTACATGCACAGATAGACAAATAGATAGATAGCTAGATACATAGGTGGACAGACAGACGGACAGACAGACACATACATAGATAGGTAGGTTCATAGATAGACAGATAGATTAGACAGATAGACAGAGAGATAGATAGATAGACAGATAGATAGATAGATGGATGGATGGATAGATAGATAAGAACATAGATGGATGAATAGATAGATAGATAGATAGATAGATAAGTAAGTGATATTGTATTTGCGTGTATGCATGTATGAGCATATGGTTAAATACATATCTTATATATATACACATACATATATATATATGTACAGTGCTTCCACGAGCCGCTTCTGCACCCTTCCATGCACATTGTCCCACAACATCTGCACAACAACTTCACACCCTGGACGCTTTATCCGTTCCTGCATACGCCTGCATTGCCTACCGCCCTCTTGCATCCTCTTGCTCTGAGCGTCAATAGTTCTGCATCGCATCCGTGCGGAAATCAAGGAGTCGCTAATGTATTGCGACAGCACATCACGACATGCCACGAAAATGCTGGCCCCAGCCTCAAAGACAGAAGCCTCCGATAACAACACAAACGAAAGGCATACAGCCATCCCATCCTCACAGACAAAGGGCAATACAAGTCCAATCGCGTTGTGCCTGACAACTGCACTCTTGTTGCGACTTTGATGAGACCTCAGAATGGGATGTTGAAGCCGATCGAGTCGCGGCATGGTCTGTGCTGAAGCAGTCACTCCGCCAAAATAGTGTGGCCCAGGTCGATCACATGGATGCGAACTCAGTCCAGCAGCGCTCCGCACCAGTTGAACAAGGTTGATCAGTGGCAGAACAGCAATGCGTCTTGTAAGATTGCTGCTGCCAGCTTTCCTCTCGGAAACCATAAGATTCGTGGTCCCTTAGATTGCGGGCCGAACGTGCGGGAATCAGACTCTTCCAACAAGAAGTCAATAATTTCCGGCACAGTAGCGAAAGTCGCGGTGTATCAGTCCCATTTCTACCAAATAAACCAATGCCTGCTGAGCAGTCACTGCCCAAGCATTCATACAGGCTACCGAAGGACCCCAACCTCTGCAGCTTGTCGAACCACAATCTGCTTCTCCTGCGAGCGGGGATGGTACTCCCTGACACGACCCACTTGCTGCATGCACTACTAACAGGGTGGTCCTCTTGACTGAGGAGCGCTTCCCTGCGAACGGGCTGATCTCGACTCCAGCCCAAAGCCTTAGATAGAACAAGCGTTTTTGTAACGGTTTGCCATACGATGTGAAGCAAAGCCTGTGTGCAGCAACCAGCCAGTACCAGCCAACAGCCCACTCTGTTCGTGTCGAACACTGACGCACGCAGAGAGACGCGCAGCTGCTAGGTCACTATGTCTCTGTATGGCTCCGTGGAGCTGCCGCCCATGTCTCGACATGACCTGAACCCAGAACCAAACCAAACTCCACTATCACTCAATTCGGCGCGCATCAGCAGCAAGCACCAAAATCGGGATCGGTTGATTTTGACGTCGAGGCCTGTCACTGCCTCTACTGCTGCCAGATGAAGGTCAAGGAGTGACCATAACGAAGACTATTCACTGGCGAACTTGGGCCGTTTGGCACGACTTTAACTGCGCACATCCGCGCACGCCGGATGGAACAGATTGCGCAGCATGCATGAGCTTTCAGAGCAAATTCCGGCATGCGGCGCATATTGTCAGGCATGTATACTGTATATGATCATAGCCTCGCTGATCCAATCTGATCTGTTTTTGGCTGGCACAGCTTTGTTCTTCCAGTGCAAGAGCCGTGGGCTTTCAACCAGCTGCCAACAATTCAATGGTTTTGGGGCTGTCCTTTCGCTTCGATTCACAGGCAAAGGTTGTCAGTGATTGAGTTTTTGGGCTCCGCGGGTGATTTTGAGGTGGAAATGGAGCTGCTTTCCTCCATCCGGACAAACTTCCTATAACTTCCTTGTAAAACCTTGCAAGCTCCTTTCACTGACTGCGGCATTTCAATGTGGACTGCCAGGAGTTGCCACCATGGCCTGTCACTCGTCTACGAGCTTCCCCGTCACAGCGTAGAAAAGCTCTTGCCGTGGCCCCGGCTGAACTGGCACTTAGTCAGAGCTTCGATTCTTGTGGTTTCAGCATGTTTCAGCCATCCGAGGTTGAATGCTGCTTGTCGGCTGCTTTTTGCTGAATGTCATTTCTGGCACTCGGCGAACCTGAGATTTTGCACAAGGCCTGAGGCAAAGGCTGCGTGAAGTGTTCTGCCAGGGACAAACTCCATAGCCACATAAGGATGTGGCGGCAGTGTCTCTGGAGGCCTGGCGTAGCGCCGCAAAGCCCCGAAAAGCACCGCCCGATTCCCCAGACAAGGCTCGAGCAGAAGTCTCTCGCTCTGTCGCTCTGTCCGCGGCCGCCTGAACTTGTCCCAGCGGAACTCCGGAGCTTCGAAGGTCGCACGCTCCTTGGAGAAAGTCCGGCGGCCGCAGCTCTCAGGCGTCCTCCATGGCATCCTCGATGGCATTCTTAAGGCTCTCGCGGCATCGAAGTCCATATCCCGGCTCCATCGGCCGGTATGGTCCTGCGCACTGCAAGATCTGCAAGGCCCCGCAAGATCCGCAAGGCACGCAACGGCTGGGCCAAGAGCCTCGAGGTATCGAGCGAAGAGAGCTGCCTGCAGGCTACTGAGGTCAAGTCATGTCTGGCCCAAGCCTCTCGCACAATGCCATCTCACGTCACCTCTGATCTGACCAGCCTTCTTCTCTGAGAACCCTTTGTAGCTTGAGTTGTGGAGCCTGAGAGCTCGACTGGTCTCAGTCTCAGTAAGTCTCCATGTTATCCCGCCTTCGCAATGACCACTGAGCTTCCCGATGAAGGATGAAGGCGCTTCGCAGCTGCACGCAATCAGACTCACACGCTATAGTATCCTGCGCCTCCTGTACGGTCCCGCCTTTGCCGTCGGCTTGGCACCTTTGGTGACCTTGCAGACCTGTCATGAATCCCATGAACAAGAGGACGACAACTCCCTGATGCTGCCTTGATGGCCACATCCCCCTTCAGCTTCCCCGTAATGTCGATGGCTTGGTGAACCTAACCGGACCCGGCAATCATGCTGCGTCCAAACGAGTGCCACTTCAGAGCTTGCTTGCCGTGTCAGAACTGTTTCCTGTGATTTGTGAACTCTGAGCAGATTGAGGCAGATGCGACGCCCAAAGCACCTTCTCCGAGTTTGCCCCGGTATCTCCTGGTGGGCAAGCACAAAATCAATGTGGCCTGCTTGGAAAGAGACATCGACCAGCAATCAACGACAAACGTCTGAGTACCGCAGCCACCGCCCGGTCTTGCGTCTGGAATCATACCTGCCAGCATGGCATGCAAGAACATGCGAGAACACTGCGAAATTGTTGCAGGTGCAGGTCACATCCAGTGCTGCAGGATAATGTGACATCTCAGTGGCCGACGCATCCGGAAGCCCCGGACCGAAGTTTGAAACCGTGAGGACCACTGCCTGGTCATGGACCTGACCGGGGTTGCTGTTTCAAAAGCGATCGATAGTGAGATTTCAATTCAAAAGCTCCTCTTCAGCACTGATTGAATAATCTGAACTGCGGCAATGCAAGGACGACAGGAGTGCGGCGACTCCGCGTTCCTTTTGCTAACATCTGGTCTTGCTTCTGCACATCCCCGAATCCGTAAATATCTAAAGTGAACCGGATGCCGCACACTCACGTGCACGTACACATCAAATCAACCGAGCAAAGCAGGCAGCTGCGCTCGAGCTGGCTTGGCCTTGCAGTTGAAGGGAAGTAAAATCTGCGAATATTGGCCCAAGGCCTTGCCTGAGCAGCGATGCACCTATGCCCACAACCAACTCAATGAACAATGAGTGGTTTTGCACGTATTCCAGCTACTGCTCATGGCACTACCATCAGCCACGACAAATTTCCCACCAGAAGCGGCGACTGATCGTAGCACTCGTCACTCGTCCGACACGGGTGGGCTAACTCTTGAAAGCATGATTTCATGAATCAAGGTTACAAATTTAGTCTGCCCTGCCAGACGGCTCCATGCAAGACGCTCCTAAGTCCTAAGTGTCCGGCTATCTCCTTTTCGCACAGGCTGCCACTCCTGCATATTGCGATTTGGCTTGGGACAGGCAGTTCCACGACGTGAAGCCCGAAGTTAGAGAAGCAATCATTTTGAGTATCAAGCACTGCCCGAGGCCAAACCAGTGCCGTTCCTGAGCCGGCAAAATTTCTGCGCCAACCCGCTGCCAAGTGCAAGGACTCAGCACTCACCGACTCAAATAAGAAAAGGACGTTGAGGTATCCTCGAGACACATCTCTGACCTCAGTGCTTGCAAGCAACCGAAGAACGGATCTGGAGCACGGTGTATCCAAGAGCTTCGCGTGTCCTCGTTGACTCGCCTGAGGATCACTAGATCTCCACGACAAACCGACAGAAATGACGAGCCTGTGCCGCAGGACTGCATGTCGCCCTGATACTCCCCTGGACTGGAGAACCTCGCCAACCAAGGCACTGGGACCTTGAGCTGTGGGATTAGGCTCCACACCACATCGCAGTCAGCGGCGCGCCCAAGCACCACCGCCTCACAACCGCATCACCGATCATGTACATTCTGCAGACTTCGCACTTCGCCCTCTCTTCGCCTCGCCGGGTGCCAAGACGAATTGCCATGGTTGCTCCGCTCCCGCTCGAGCGACTGCAACAACGGCAGCGGCCTGCACCAGCACGGTATGTAATTCAACACTCAGACACACTGACACAACCATAGCACGAAGCTCTCCTGCCCATTGCTATTCATCCCATTCTTCCAGACAAAGGGTGTTAAGGAGCTTCGTTGTGCAATCGGGTAGTTCAAAGCCTGGGGCTAGCTTCAGGGTGCAGGCCTTGGGCCGAAAGTTCCGACAGTTTGCTCGGTGCGGGGTTCATGTGTTTAGGGTTCCGTATGAGGGCGTGGGGGGATCAGCCTAGCATTTTCGCTTGAGCCGAACCAGGTGGTGCGTCCAGGAAAGCACGGTGTACAGAAGCCTCCGCTGTCAGCATGAATCAGCTCGGTCAAGAAGTGTAAGCTGGAGCAGCACGGCGGGCAAATTTCTCTGCTGCGGTTTAGGATGCTGAAAGCCAGATTGCCTAGAGCAAGCCAGCTTCCATAACACCTCGCGGCTGCCCCTGTTTGGCCGACAGCCGAAAAGGACTCCTCCAAGACGAACACATGGCGTCAATACAGCGCTTACACGGGGTCTAACGGGGTCTAAAGTTCAATCCATGCCGTGTCGAATTGAAATCGGTCGCGTCGTTCAGCTCGTCTTCATGCTCTAACGAGAAGAGTTTCAAGCAGCGCTAGCTTGGCCAGCATGCTATCCTCAGCGCCCTGTCCATGTAGTTTGCTCAGCGTCCGATGTGCGGCCCCTGCAACACGTCTGCCTGCAATCCGATTGCGTGTGCAAGATATCAAATATATCAAGATGCAGCAGGACAAGAGCCAAGTTACGTGCAGGCAGGGCACCGGCCGGAGCAAGTTTGCCGACAAGGTCTCCATGACACTCAGACGCCCAAACGAAAACCTCGTGCCGGTTCTGCATGCCACAGAAGGTGTTGAAGCGGTTGGGCTGAGATCCTCACGTTGCTGACCCGACCTGCTGCTTCAAACGACATTTGGAGCTGAGTCTCCTTCAGGGTCAGTTGTGCAATGAGCAGAGAGGATGATGCTTCTTGATCCTGGTGGCAGCGCTGGAGCTGCACGAAGACGGCGACCAAGAACCTGCCACCAGGGCTGGGACAGAGGCAGAATCGCTGAGGTCGTGGTCGAGGTACATGTTGGAGAAGGCGCTCCAGCCGAGACCGGTCTTGGCGATCATCTCGAGGCCACAAAGAGGGAAGTCCAAGCCTCGGTGACACTTCATATCTGAGACGCTCCGGGGGCACATTGGAGTCCGACTGTCTGCATCGCGAGCTCTGGCAGCAGCAGAAGCCAGCAAGGACATCGCACAAGTGCGAAGGCTTGCAATAGCCTACGAGTACAGTCGCTTTCAGTGTTGGTCTTTCAGCATGTGCTTGACCCTCCTGGGCCTCCGCTTCTGCCTCCGCTTCTGCTTCCATGGCGGCCTCTGCGAGGCACCGGCAGACCTCCAAGGCCGTCTCCTTGGGCATCTCGAAAGCGGTCGCCTTTGCGATTTTGCGGTCCCTTTGCCGTGACAAGCTCCAGCCTCGGGGGCTCGCGCCTTGGCCATCGCGGCAAACTGGCTGATGTGATCCCAAGGAGCACCTCGTTCCCTTAATCCCAAGATCTTGGTGGCAACACCTCACCACTGGAATGTCAAAGGATGTCAAAGGACTTTTGCCACAGCATCTCTTCAGCACGGCTGTTTCTTGAAGGGGTGTGACAGTATGGCAACAGCTTAGCATCTGAAAATCAAGCGACGAGCCTACACCACCTCCCGCAAGGCTCTCCATGACGGCAGCAGAATGCATCATTTTCAGTTCTGTCTCGTCGTGGCCAGGTCTGGTTCTCACCTTCGGAAAGCCGCTGCTATGCATTTAGCAACACAGCCAAATGTGATCAGCGCCTTCGGAATCGGCATACTTCTGGAAAGCTCACCCTGCATACACCACTTGTCCTGGCGCTGGATGCCTTGGATCCCGGTGGCTAACGCGGCTCTATGTTGAACATATCAGCCAAACCATTCGCACCTGCGGAGGCACTGTTGTATGCCATGACGTAAGGTTCGCTCCAGTCAAAGTTGACCTGCGACTAGGCACCCAATCAAACTTTCGCCTCCATGAATCTCCCTCCCAGATTTTCTGAGCCCATCGCGCCAACTCCTTCACGGCCCTCTATATCGATGAACCTGCCAGGACACTTGCGAAGGCATAACATCAAAGCCAGATAAAGACATCGACTCTAGAGCAGAGGCATAAGTCGCAAGAGATGCGGTTTCGATTCATGTGTAGAAGACGTGTCCAGCTCGTTCCCACCACCTGTCACGCACGAGCGACATGTGCCCCTCACCCTCACCACACGAATTCATGGCTTGTTCCAGCCAGGGTGCGCAGGACAGCTCTGATTGAGTCATCGGTATGTGCTGGAGCTCGATCAATGAATTCTCGATGAAGCCGAGCTGTCCGAACCTGAGACGTCAACTAGTCAATGAGTAAAGAATGAAATCTTTGAAGTACATTGCACAGGTTGCAAGGCCTCATGCTTGCCGCTGTACCGGACTCCATGTACAGCGTCCGCTCCGTCCTGATACTCTCGTGCGCTGGGCTTGCTGTCAAGACAAACCAGACCTCGCCAAGTCCTCAACACGATGCCGACTTCTTGCCGAGACTGCGTGACGCTTCCAAAACCTCTCACCTGATCACAAGCACGACCACATTCCGGAAGGTGCCGACCCAAAGCGGCCTGGACCAGGATCGGCTTGCATCTCCTGTACTTGAAGTCTTGAAGTCGACAGCCGACCCAACGCCCCTTGGACACACAGTCCATCACAAAACACAACACGGCATGCGTCACCAAAAGCAGTCGCTGAGATTCATGAACCTGAACCCTGTCAGGTCCTTCGAAAAGCATTTGTTGCAGAGCTGCTCCAACACGGCACGCTGCCGTTGACAACGCCTAGGAAAACATGACGGGAGACTGCTGACTCCGGCGGCTGAACTGACCTTTGCAGACTCTTTCCTCAGCCGAACGGAAAATTAAACAGAAACAAGTGGCTTCGAACTCGCCAGTCCGCTACTGATTCAATCGACGTTCCTGTACAGTTTCGACCAGAAGTACTGAGTCAAGTTGTGTGACTTGCGTTTGATGAGCGACCAAAAGAATAGCCATTCAATGATTAGCTTTACGAAACTATGACATTTGAGCTTTGAACAGTTTGCCTCCCCAACGGTTTATTCCCCGTTCTGGCATGGACAAACGAGGACTAAATGCGCTGAAAGCAGCAAAGATGCTGGTGATTGGCCTCTGTGTCCTTTCGATCTCTCCTTGTTTGAAGAGCTCGATCAAGCAACTCTCGAGCCCGATGCTTGTGTGCTACCTGCAGCCAGTCCCATCACAAATAAACTGTGTGTTCTCTCAGGACCCAAGGATGTCCTGATCGTCAGAAAACTTGTAGGGGATCGGAACATTGGAAAGCAACTCTGCCCCGCGGCTTCTGTTGAACCTGTGCAAGACAACCAGACACACAAGCACAGCAACTTCTTGTAGAATGAGTGGCCATCAAACCTGTCATCCATCACCGCCGCATCACATGCTTTGAATCTCGCCGCAATGCGACATTGGCTAAATATGAACAAAAGCATTACATGTGCGTATTGATTAAGCACACCTTGTGACACTAGTCGTCGGGTTTGTTGACGATCCGCCACATGTGAAACACATACAAGGTGACATGTCAGAGCCTGAGAATGAAGCCAAGGCCGGGCGGGTGGCAGCTGCGCTGTCCGAATGCGTGAAATGACTAGTCAGCCGTACGTCTTCTATGTTGCATCCAAACGGTTCAACACGCCCAACACGCATCGCGGGCGACACACATCGTCGCGACATCATGTGCACCAAATTCTTTGTTGGACATCATCCAAAATCAAACTACTTGAATTTAGTCCAAACCCCGGAATATACGTACAACAGGGAACTCCTTTCTGAAACTCAAATGGCAGCCACGTGGGCTTTCCGTCGCAACAACAACTTCCACATGGCGAGTTCTGCAACTTGCTCCACCCATGCTTGGAATGGTGCCTGATTTATATTCATAATCTGCGTCTCTAACCAAACGCGATTCGTTGCTTTTCCTGCGCCGGTTTGTGGATCTTTTCCGGGGATGGGGTTGGCTTTACTGAAAGTGTGGCTCCACACACGCTTGATTTCGATTGTCTTGGGAATGAGAATGCTGCCCGGAAGGACTACGTAACCAGGCAGGCAAAACGTATTGTTTAGAAGGCTTGCCATGCTTGCGTTTGGGTCATGAATCACCGTTATTTCAGCTTGTTTACAATTTCAGCTTGTTTACTCTTTCATTGGCAGCTGCGCTGAAAACCAATTGCGAATGTGTGCATGAAAACCACCCAGACAAGAACCTAGGTTCTGGGTTGCCCACGAATCTTGCGCTTTCTGCCTTCCGTGATGGGAGGGGGAAGCCACACTGAAAAAACGCTTGAAAACGAAGATTATAAGAACCAAAAAGCCGCCCTTTCAACACAAAAGAACAAGCCTCGAACGCTTTTGCGGGCTAAAACGGAAGACAAGACTTGAAGCGGGAAGCCACACGAAAACGTTCGGGAAAGAAAACGAAAAAATAAGAACCACAAAAGAAGAAGCCACACGAAAAACGCTTTTGGTCGCTCAAAACGGAGGAATAAAAATTCAGACTGTGAGAGGAAAGCTGCCGAGAACGCATTTTTGGAGCTGAGACGAAGAACCAAAAGCCAACCTCCAAAACACCAAGGAAAGCCACACGAAAATGTTGTGGCTCACAAGCAAAAACAAGATTTGAGAGTTAGACAAAAAGGGAATAATAGAGAAAGTAGGCTTATGGGGGTATTTTTGGCGAGACCCGAAACCGCGACAAATATCCTCGAAAACGGCCTTTTCGACCTT